CTCCTGACGGTTCCAAGCTTCTAATCATTGCAGGATCTCTCTAGTGACTGGCCCCCTTCCAGAAGCCCACTGAGAGTCGCCTCATTTTCGAAAGACCCTCTGATCACCCAGAAATTCCAAGGGAGTAGGAGCTCTGTCAGGAACTTGGGTCAAAGATCAAATATTAGGCCTAGCCTGGTGGCTCACATCTGTGTCCCGGCACTTTAGGAGGCCATGGAGGGGGAATCGCTTGAGGCCAGGAGTTTGAGACTGGCCTGGCAACATAGCAAGACTCCATCATTACATATTTTAAAAATTAGCTGTCATGGTGGCTGATGCCAGTAATCCCAGCACTTTGGGAGGCTGAGGCAGGCAGAACACTTGAGCATAGTAATTCAAGACCAGCCTGAGCAACATAACGAAACCCAATCTCTACAAAAAAATTAGCCTGGTGTGGTGGTGCACACCTATAGTCCCAGCTACTGGGGAGGCTGAAGTGGGAGGATTCCTTGAGCCCAGGAGTTCGAGATTACAGAGAGCCATGACCGCACCACTGCACCCCAGCCTGGATAGCAAAGTGAGAGCCCGTCTCAACTTAAAAAACCAACAACGAAGATCAGATATTAGAACAAGAGATTCTCCTTGCACCTCTACTGCTCAGGAAATTCCAAGGATTTTAGGCGCTCTACACCAAGAACCAGGGGTGAAGAGGAAAATACATATTTCTTATTATAAATCACACCGCCAGTGGGTAGGACAGTGGTTCTGAACCTCTGCCGCACAATGAAATCACATGGCAAGCTCTAGGCCCTCCCCCTAGAGATTCTGATATAATTGGTTTGAAATATGGCAAAATAATTCTAACTTTAGAAGAACTGAGAGCTCCTGAGCCACAGGAACACAATAATAGCTACCATGCATTGGTGCCTACTGTGTGCCTGGTGCTTCTCATACCTTGTCCCAAACCTCACCTGCAGGGCCTCACTGTGGATGTTGCTCGTATTTATAGGTGGAAAACCGAGGCCAGGCATGGTGGCTCATGCCTGTCATCCCAACACTTTCGGAGGCCGAGGAGGGAGGATCACTTGAGGTCAGGAGTGTGAGACCAACCTGGCCAACATGGTGAAACCCTGTCTCTACTAAAATACAAAAAAATAAAAAAGAATTGGCCAGGCTCGGTGGTGGGCGCCTGTAATCTCAGCTACTAGGGAGGCTGAGGTAGGAGAATTGCTTGAACCTGGGAGGTAGAGGTTGCAGTGAACCAAGATCGCCACATTGCACTCCCGCGTGGGTGGCAGAGCGAGACTCCATCACAAAAAATAAAATAAAATAAAATAAAATATAAAAAATATAGGTGAAGAACCGAGTCTCAGAAGTATAAAGAGGAATTATCTGGAGAGCAGAGTTAGAAAATGCCACAGTTAGGCAATGATAAGCATGGGCCCGGGTCTTCCCTTTCCATAGCTGGGTACTTTAGAACTTCATAGCTGCTGGCCGGGAATGGCGGTGCACGCCTGTAATCCCAGCACTTTGGGAGGGCAAGGTGGGAGGATCACTTGAGGTCAGGAGTTCGAGACCAGCTTGGCCAACGTGGTGAAACCCCATCTCTACAAAAAAAATACAAAAATTAGTAAGGCATGGTGGTACATGCAGCCTGGGTGACAAAGTGAGACTCCATGTCAAAAAAAAAAAACCATCATAGCTGCGGAGGCCAGGCATGGGGGCACATGCTGCAGTCCTCCCACTTTGGGAGGCTGAGGTAGGAGGATCACCTAAGCCCAGGAGTTGGAAACCAGCCTGACAAACATGAAAAAATCCTCATCTCAAAAAAAAAAAAAAAAAATTTAGCCGGGGACACACACCTCCAGCTGCTCGGGAGGCTGAAGTGGGAGGATCACTGGAGCCCAGAAGGTTGAGGCTGCAGCAGACCAAGACTGTGCCACTGCACTCAAGCCTGGGCAACAGAGGGAGATGCAGTCTAAAAAATAATAGGAAAATAAGTAAAATTAAAATGTAAAAGGTTAGCCAGGAGTAATGGCATGCAGTTGTAGTCCCAGCTACTCTTGGGAGGCTGAGGCAGAAGGATCACTTGAGTCTAGGAGGTTGAGGCTACACTGAGTCCTGATCGCACCACCGCACTCTCTCCTGAGCAACAGAGTGAGACTCTGTCTCAAAACAAAAAAGAACATCAAAGCTGCTTCCATGTGCAGGGCTCCCCGCTTGCCTCCTTCTTGGAGCTCAGTCATTCTGATGTCTAACAGAGAGGGGGACCGTTATACCTTCCACGTTCTCTTTGTGAAAAATAGATAAATACATCTGGGTGTTCCTTTTTTAGCCTCTGACTCTCTCACGCATTTCCAACAAAAGGGATTCCTGTGGGTAGCTTTAAAAATACGGGGCTCCGCTAATTAGCAGCTGTTACTGAATGGCACTTGATAGAGGGGAAGCCGCTTTTGCGGCTGGCAACGGGAGAGTTGGCCCATCAGAGAAATGCCAGGCAGGCTGCCACACGCTCAGAGGAGGCAGCTGCGCCCGCTGTATCCCACAGCCTCCTAGCCTCATGGCTGGACATGTAAAAGGTCTCCCAAGATGCCTGGATTTCAGAGATTAGAGTTTTATCCCGTGGAATATAACCTTGATCTCTCAAGGTGATCCCTTCTTAATTGGTTTCCAGAGTTAATAAAACACTAATAAAATTGGCATCTTTAAGGCTGGGCACAGTGGCTCACGCCCGTAATCCCACCATTTTGAGAGGACGAGGTGAGTGGATCACTTGAGTTCAGGAGTTTGAGACCAGCCTGGCCAACATGATGAAACCCCGTCTCCACTAAAAATACAAAAATTAGCCAGGTGTTATGGCAGACACCTGTAATCACAGCTACTTGGAAGGCTGAGGCAGGAGAATTGCTTGAACCCAGGAGGCAGAGGTTGCAGTGAGCTGAGCCTAAGTAACAGAGCGAGACACCATCTCAAAGAAAAAGGAAAAGAAAATGGCGTCTCTGCTCGGAGGGGATCAGGGCATCTTGGGATATTTGTACATCTTTTCTCTTTTCAAATCATGTAAAGATACAGATTGCCGACAACTCTGACAGAGTAGATGAAGATTTTCCCCCCTCTGGTACTGCTGCTGTTCTATTCTGGATTGTTTACTGATGTGTTGTTGTTGCTGTTTACTGCTTTTTGTTTGGGTTTTGGTTTTAGAGACAAGGTCTCGCTCTGTCACTCACACTGGGAACTTAGTGGTGCAATCACGCCTCACTGCAGCCCCAACCTCTTGAATTCAAACAATCCTCTTGCATCAGCCTCGGAGAAGCTGGGACCACAGGCGCACGCCACCACGCTCAGCTTTTTACCGTGTTTCTGTGTTACACCTAACCTACGGGCTGGATGACCTCCGGCAAGGTGGTAACCTTCCTGAGTATCAGTTTCACGTGGAAATTCCAGGGCTGCTGGGAGGACCAAATGAGGCAATTCACATAAAGCGCCTGAGCCAATGCCTGGCCAGGAGCCTCAACCCAGGGGTCTGATTCTGGCAGCTCTGTTCTTCCATCTGTTCATTTGTTGACTCATTTGGCAAACACCAGGTGGAGACAGAGGCTGGTCAGCACCGCAGGTCCCAGGTGAATGCCCTTTTCCCCTCCGTTCACTCCCGGGAGAAGAGAAGTGACCTCCAAATAGGGCCAAATGTGACCACCTGGCACACCCATGGTAGAAGGAGCCACAGAATCTGAGTGTGGATAGGAGAAGCCGGAAAGCTTGGCTCTGAGAATCGGCTGGAATTGACAGGAAAGGAAGGCTCGCCAGGCAGAGAGAATAGAGAGAGCACAGGCCAGGCAGTGGAGACACAGGGCACATGCAGGGGACGGTGCCCAGTCTTGGGCATGGGGAAAGAAGGTGGCAGCCAGGACTGAAATCCAGGTCAGTGTGGTTTCAAAAGAGAAAGACACAATGGAGACTGAAAGGTGCCTGCGTGCCATCCTGCATGGGACCCCCCTAGAGCTGGTTCCACAGCAAAGCCAGAGGGGCCGTGTATGTGGGACCAGTAGGCACCCCAAAGGTGAGGGTCCAGGCACCCATGCCTCCCATCCTCTGTCCTCCCAACAATCTTGTGAACAGGGAACTATTTTTTTTTCTTTTTTTTTTTGAGACAGAGTCTAGTTCTGTCGCCCAGGCTGGTGTGCAGTGGCCCGATCTCGGCTCACTGCAACCTCTGCCACTGGGGTTCAAGCAATTCTCCAGGCTCAGCCTCCAGAGTAGCTGGGATTACAGGCATGTACCACCACACTCAGCTAATTTTTGTATGTTTAGTAGAGACGGGGTTTCACCATGTTGGCTAGGCTGGTCTCGAACTCCTGACTTCAGGTGATCCACCCGCCTCGGCCTCCCAAAGTGCTGGAATTATAGGCGTGAGCCACTGTGCCCAGCCAGAACAGGGAACTATTATTGTCATTTAACAGATGGAAGAAAACGAGGCTCTGAGAAGCCGCAACCCACCCACGGTCACACAGCCAGCTCCCTGGTGGAGCCTTCTGATCGCAGAGCAGTCCCTGGGTCTGCTCCAGGCAGCACCTAAGCAGGGAATCATGGGACTCAAGCCCCTCCCCCACCCAGCTGCAGATGAGACAGGACTTTGTCTCTGCTTCCCCTGTGCTACCAGCGAGAGCCGAAGTCCAAGGCTGCTCCCCTGCCCAGCCTCCCACTACCGGCCCCCTCAGCCCCTAGGAGATGTCACCTCCTCCAGGCCGCCCTGCCCCTTTCTAGGGCTCAAGCCCCTTCCTTCCCCAGATCTCCTTGGGGACCCAACACAGAAGGAGAAAGAAGAGTCAAAAGGGGCCTCTAGGGGTTGGGCCAGGCTGCAGGGACATGGGGTAGGTACGGGAGTCGATGACGATGACAGGACCAGAGGAGACATGGAGGGATGGCTCCAGAGGAAACCAGAGAGGCTGAGATGAGTCAGGATGGGGGCAGGGGCATGCAGTGGGGGAATGGGTGCAGGGACGCGGCCGACAGTATCCCTTTACCTTCAGCGTCCATGGTGACTTGCAGCTGGCTGGGCTGGTGTGTTGGCTGCTCAGGCTCAGGGCTCCCAGAGGCCCCAGGCCGGGGGGTGGGGCTGTGGAGAGAGGAAGCAGCCAGCCAGTCCTTCCCGGGCTCTCTGGGCCTCCCTCCCGTCCTCTGCCAGGCCTGCACATTCCTCAGGGTGCCCCCCATGGTCAGAGGAGGGGCTCCACTGGGGAACTCAGAAGCCCTGCCGCAGCCAGTGGAGGAGCGGAGCCGGAGGCCCTGTTCTCGCCCCACACCCAGTCCTCCTGGCCCTAACCCAGGATGCAAGGCTGTGAATGTCAACGTGTGCTCCCTGGTGAGTGCGGGCAGGCATTTTGGATGGTGCGCTGGGAAGACCATGGGCCTTGGACCTGGGTTCAAATCTTAACTCCATCCTTTTTGATCTCAAGAACCTTTTTACCTTTTTTTGTGCCTCAGTTTCCTTATCTTTAAAATGGCATAACAGGGCCTGGTGCGGTGGCCCATGCCTCTAATCCCAGCACTTTGGGAGGCCTAGGTGGGTGACTCCCCTGACGTCAGGAGCTCGAGACCAGCCTGGCCAACATGGTGAAACCCTGCCTCTACTAAAAATATAAAAATTAGCCAGGCATGGTGGCGAGCACCTGTAATCCCAGCTGCTTGGGAGGCTGAGGCATGAGACTCACTTGAACCAGGGAGGTGGAGGTTGCAGTGAGCCCAGATCACGCCAGAGTGAGATTCCGTGTGTGTGACAGAGTGAGATTCCGTCTCTAAATAAATAAATAAATAAAATAGCATAACCGGCTGGGTGCAGTGACTCATGCCTGTAATCCCAGTGCTTTGGGAGGCCAAGGCAGGAGGATTGCTTGAGGCCAGGAGTTTGAGAAGTTTGAGACCAGCCTGGGCATCATAGAGACATAGACAGATCCCATCTCTCCCAAAAAAAGGAGAAAAGGGAAAGAAATTCACCAAATACAGTGGTGCACACCTGTAGGCTGAGATGGGAGGATGGCTTGAGTCCAGGAGTTCAAAGCTGCAGTGAGCCATGATCCTGCCACCACAGTCCAGCCTGCGTGACGGAGACCCTGTCTCTAAAGAAAAAAAAATTCATGGCATAACATCTACCTCAGGGGTTCAACTGAGAATGAAGTGAGAAAACTCTGCAAATGAAACAGAGTAGGAACTTGTTGGAAACAGATGCTCGGTGCCGCAGAGAAAAATCAGCATTGAGACAGAGGATCTCTCAGCAAGCAATTTTTACTTCCTAGACTGCAGGAAGGGTACTCTCACTAGCCATCTTGCCACGAGAATATAACGAACAAAGGAAAAGCAGACATAGTTATCCTTTATGCATTTGGGGTCGTCCTTACTGCTGTGTCTGATCTCCGTCGGCTGGAGCCAGAATTCACAATTTAAACTAAAACCCGACTGGCTAACAACTTAAAACTTTTCTAAACAGTTAAAAGCAATGGAGAGCTGGGACATGGCTGTGAGCACATCCAGCACAAATATCTTGGTTAAAGTACAAGGACATAGAATGTACTACATGTCTGTAAGCATGGCATGTTTAACAACTACATAGGATATGGCTTAACAAAGAGTTATTAGCATACTTATGATTTATTCTTTAACAAGAAAGGCAACTTTGAAGAGGAACTTTTACTTCCCACAGAACTCAACTAACATCCACTTCCCTTCCCTTCCCTCTTCCAAAGTAACTTTAAGGGCACAGACAGCTTAGAGCCTGGCTTCTGAACCAGAAAATGGGGAAATCGCAGTCACTGGGACTGGACTGCAGGCAAGTTCCTGTCCAAGAGCTGCCAGGGCCTTCCTTCTTGTTACAGTTGCTCACAGGGACTGCTGGTCGATAAATTCACCGGCATCTTCCCAGCCTTCTCCCTTTTCTTTCTCTGCCACACCTGATCCCTGGGACTGAGGCTGGGTGAAAAATTGAGGCACCCAAGGCACAACATTTAGGGAGGCCTCACCCTCAGGCTCATTTTTTTTTTTTTTTTTTTTTTTTTTTTTTTTTTAGACAGGGTCTTGCTCTGTCATCCAGGCTGGAGTATAGTGGCATGATCTCAGCTCACTACAACCTCCGAGCCCTGGGATCAAGTGATCCTCCCACCTCAGCCTCCTGAGTAGCTGGGACTACAGGCACCTACCACTATGCCCAGCTAATTTTTGTATTTTTAGTAAAGACGGACTTTCACCTCATGGGCCAGGCTGGAGTCAGGTTTGTTTTTCACCCCAGCACCTTGCTGGCCTTGCTTCAGTTCTGGGCTTGCTCCTGAGGCTCCAGTGAGATGCAGTAAGCTTTTTTTTTCTTTAGAGACAGGATGTCCAAATGTCATTTTTCTCCTGATTCGTCTTCTTTCTTTCTTTGTTTTTTTTTTTTTTTTTTTATAAGACAGGTGCTGCTTTTGCGGGTGCTTCTTCCTGCATCCAGCCCTCATATTTTGGTGTTGCCTCAGTGTGGCATGGACTATCTCTCTTTTCCTTCTGGGCACCCTACTAAACTACATTTCCCAGCTTCCTTTGTACTGAGGTGGTCTCATTCTGGCCAATGTAGTGTGAGCAAAAAATATTTCCAGACCTGACCCATAGAAATCTTCATCTGGCCGGGCGCAGTGGCTCAAGCCTGTAATCCCAGCACTTTGGGAGGCCGAGGCGGGTGGATCACGAGGTCGAGAGATCGAGACTATCCTGGTCAACATGGTGAAACTCCATCTCTACTAAAAATACAAAAAAATAGCTAGGCATGGTGGCGCGTGCCTGTAATTCCAGCTACTCAGTAGGCTGAGGCAGGAGAATTGCCTGAACCCAGGAGGCGGAGGTTGCGGTGAGCCGAGATCGTGCCATTGCACTCCAGCCTGGGTAACAAGAGCGAAACTCCATCTCAAAAAAAAAAAAAAAAAAAAAATCTTCATCACAGAATCCTATCTGCCTCTCCCATCCCATCAGCTGCTCAAAAGCAAAGCACTCCGAGGCTCTAGGAGAATGACAGAGCCACAAGGTGGAAAGAAACTGGGTCCTAAAGTGACCATGTGGAAGGTCATGCTCCAAATGTCAGCAAGGAACTGTTACTGTCATAAGCAAGGAAAAAACTTCTCAAGTTATACCACTGAAATGTGGGGGCAGTTTGTTACAGCAGTTAGCCTTCCCTGACTATTACACTCAGATTCTCTCTACAGCTCTCTTCTCAACCTACCCAGTGAATGACATAATTTATGTATATATCCATCTGTACCACTATTTATTTATTTATATTTTCTTTATTTATTTATTTTGAGACAGAGTCTCACTCTGTTGCCCAGGCTGGAGTCCAGTGGCACGATCTTGGCTCACTGCAACCTTCACCTCTAGAGTTCAAGCGATTCTTCTGCCTCAGCTTCCCAAGTAGCTGGGATTACAGGCGCACGCCCCCATGCCAGGCTAATTTTTGTCCTTTTGGTAGAAATAGGGTTTCGCCATGTTGCTCAGGCTGGTTGGGAACTCCTGACCTCAAGTGATCCACACATCTCGGCCTCCCAAAGTGCTGGGATTACAGGCATGAGCCACCATGCTCAGCTGACTCTTTTTGAGACAAAGTCTCATTCTGTCACCCAGGCTGGAGTATAGTGGCGCAATCTCAGCTCACTGCAACCTCCGCCTCCCAGGTTCAAGCAATTGTTCTGAAGTGATTGCCTCAGCCTCCCAAGTAGGCCATGTGCCACCACGCCAGTCTAATTCCTGTAATTTTAGTAGAGACAGTGTTTCGCCATGTCACCCAGGCTGGTCTCGAACTCCTGGGCTCAAGTGACCTTAGGCCTCTATTTCTGTCTCCCAAACATTCCTCCTAACATTTCTAAAAATGAGCTCACTGTTTCCTTGAAAATTGCTCGACCCCTGCATTTCCAGACAATGATATCAGCATCTCCTAAATCTCTAGATAGAAACCTTGATGTCTGGTCTTACTCTTCCCTCTATCACCTCAATAGCCAATTAGTTCTAAAATCTTGTTTTCTGAATAAATCTTTTTTTTTTTTTTTTTTTTTTTTTGAGAGAGAGTCCCACTCCATCGCCCAGGCTGGAGTGCAGTGGTGCAATCTTAGCTCACTGCAACCTCTGCCTTCCAGGTCAAAGCGATTCTCCCACCTCAGCCTCCCGAGCAGCTGGGACTATAGGAGTGCGCCACCACGCCCAGCTAATTTTTGTATTTTTAGTAGGGACCAGGTTTCGTCATGTTTAAAAGCTCAAGCAATCCTCCTGCCTTGGCCTGCCAAAGTGCTGGGATTACAGGTGTGAGCCATCCCACTTGGCCAATAAATCTATTTCGAACCCAACCTCTTTTACCCTCCAAACTGCCGCTGTATCTAGAGTGGACTAGAAAGAATATTATTATTTCACACTTGTTCACAACATCCTCCTGGATGACAAGTTCAACTCAAAAGACACAACTGGGCCAGGCGCTCTGGCTTGTCCCTGTAATCCCAACAGTTTAGCAGGCTGAGGCAAAAGGATCATTTGAGGCCAGGAGGCAAGAGAGTGAGACCTCCCATCTGTACCAAGATAAACAAATAAGGCCAGGTGTGGTGGCTCACACCTGTAATCCCAGCACTTTGGGAGGCCAAGGCAGGCAGATCACCTGAGGTCGGGAGTTCGAAACTAGCCTGGCCAACATGTTGAAACCCTGTCTCTACTAAAATTACAAAAATTAGCCAGGTATGGTGGCGGGCGCCTGTAATCCCAGCTATTTGGGAAGCTGAGACAGGAGAATTGCTTGAATCCAGGAAGTAGAGGTTGCAGTGAGCCATGACTGCAGACTGGGCAACAGAGCGAGTCTTTGTCTCAAAGACAATAATAAATAAATAAAACTATTATTTGTACCTGAGTTTTTTCATCCCTCCATTCAGTAAATACATACAGATACTGCATGCTGGGCCCTGGACTCGGGACCCACAAACAGGACACGTGGTCTTGGAGGGGATCACAGGCTGGTGATGAGTGACACCCTCACATCTGGACAATGCGGTAATTCACGCTGTCGCTCGAGGTGCTGCAGGAGGGAGAAGGAACACAAAGCTGCACGGGGTGAGACAACCAGGGCAGCTGCACTGAGCCAGTGGCATCTGTGCTGAATCTTGACGGTTGAGGAAGAGTTGGCGGGAAGTCAAGGCGTTTGTTGTGGGCCAGCTCGGGGAGGGCCGGCTTCAGGCAGAGCTCAGGCAACGCAGCGGGAGTCCATGGTTCTCTCCAAGCCCAACTCAGAGCCCACACGGTTTGACTGAAACCCTCGTTCAGCCAGGCTGGTGATGG